TTTAGGGGAGGAGCAGGGAAGAACAATGGAAGAGATGAGAAGACTCCGAATAGGCAGAATGGGATTCACAGTGAGAGCCAAAAGGAAAAGTGGCTAACTAGAATTCAAGAAAAGAGAGATTTTCAAGAAGAGTATGGTCAGCCATGTCAAATACCCCAAAAGGTATAGGTAGAAAGAACCTGTCAGATGTGGCAATGTGGAAGTCACTCATGTTCGTAGCTGAGCCAATGTCAGTCTGGTGGTGAGGTCTCAAGTCAGCTGGCTGGGTGTGAAGGGTGAATCATAATGGACAGCGAGTGTGGAAGAGCCTTTCCAGAAGGTTGTCTGCAAAGGGAGGGAGAGATGGGATAGGAGCTGAACGGGACTGCAGGGAATGGCTTTCGTTTTTTGACCAGGTTAAGATGGGAGCAAGCTGAGCCTGTGTATATGTGGAAAAGAAATTGCCCAGAGAGGGGGCGGGGGATTCCACCACCACAGCACAAGGAGCACCTGCTCTTCCGGGGGCTGGGGCCATAGTTGTGACAAAGGAAAGCCGCTGACCTTCAGGAGCCATCCTCTAGGACGGACAAACAAGCAGAGGGATGTGTAACACGATGATGGCGATGAGCGCTGAGGACAAACTGAGCCCAGCAGGGAGGGGATGAGGGAGGGGTGGTGACCGGGTGTGGGGTAGGCAGAGAGCGCCTCCCTCCTGAGGTGACATCTGACCAGAAGCCCGAGGGAAGAGAGACGGTGTGCAGAGCCCTGGAGGAGGCATTCCAGGAAGAAGAAACACCCAAGTGAAAAGCCCAGGAGTAGGAGTGTATTTGGCACTTTCAAAGAATTGCAAGGAAGGGGCTGTAGCTGGAGGAGGGAGCCACACTAACCCTGGAGAGTTAGGAGGGGCCGAGAGTTAGACAGGGGCCGGTCACATAGAACCTTGTAGATCGCTGTAAGGACTTGGATTTTTACTTAAGAAAAAAAAAAAAAAAAACACAACTTTGGTTGCGACTACAGGAGTAAGATTCTTCTCTGGGAGGCCAGTAGACAGGAAATGTGGAAGAGGACAAAAATCTTCAGGCAGGAAAACAGGAGGAATGAGTGGTGTGGATGAGGTCACCCTAGATGGTCAGGAGGATCTGAGAGTTGTTGCCAACGGCTTTGGTTTTTTTCAGTGACCTATGAAGCAAGGTTGTGAGGAGAGAGGGACAGTGCAGGAAAAGGTGCCAGACAGAGAGTTGGAGGAGAGAGAGGGAGTTTGGAAGAGCTGCCCACAGGATGGGGGATGAGGTTCGTGGGGCTATGAGGAGGGACCGGCCTGTGAGGACCATGACTCTGCAGGAGCCTGATCTGACTACTGTGGGAGTTCTCTGCGCTGCTTGGCAGCCTGGTTTGGGGCAGAGGCAACCAGGGCAGAAGACCAGATGGGGGGGTGCAGGGACAGCACAGAGAGGGTGACTGGACCAGGGACACTAGGGGTCTGCTTGCACAGGGACAGAGAAGACGCCAAGGGGACTCGCAGACCCTGTGAACTCAATGGTCAGACAAGAGGTCTCAGTGGTGTAGAAACCCATGGCTAGTGGGAGTAAGAAAGTGAATGATGTAAGGGGCAGGAGAGCCTGGTCAGGTGGCAGAACTGTGGGATTTTACTTTTCAGAAGTAGATTGGGTTGAGTTGCAATAAGGCTCAGAGTGTAGCTCAGAAAGGAGAGGAGCTGAGGGTCACTTGAGATGACGCAGAGATGGAGGCCAGTGGGGGACTTGTGGAGATAAGAAATTAGAATGGCCACCCACTGCATGGCTGGATGATGGTGCGAGTGGATGTGGAGAGAAGGCCTGGGGGTCTAATTCCAAGGAACTTGAAGAAGGTGGTGCCAGAAGGCCAAAGACAGTAGCAACAAAGAGAGAGGAGGGGGCTGATGATCCGGCCTGAGTCTCCAAGGACCACTTCTCCAGCCAATCCAAGGAAGTGAGAGAGACTGGACTTGCTTCACCTGAGCTGCATGTCCTTGCCTTCACTCACGCTTGCCCTCGGCCTGGAATTCTCTCCCTCCTCAGTCTTTTGAAATCCTATCTGCCTTCAAGCAACCCAAAGGGCACCTCCATGAAACATTCCTTTTTACTGCCAAAGATGTGATTTCACCTTCTCCTTGGCTGCCACACCACTTTGTTTATATCTCTCCTGACATTGATGTGAGCGCAGCTTGGAGCTGTAGATAGCTGTGTTGTTTCCTTCTCCTATTCTAGACCACAGGGGCTTCCACTCGCTCATCCGGGCCTTGTTCACATCTTGGAGTTTGGCAGAGAGACCACGCATGAGCATTTGTAGCATGAACACTACAAATCCTTCCCCTTCGTCGAGGATGGGCATTATATCTGAACAACCTCCTCCCCATGCCCAGGGAATTCTCAGAAATGGCACCTCCTAATCTACGATGACTTAGGCAAATTGTCTAAATGTCCAATGGGTATAAATCATCTGGTCTACTCTCCGTATTTGCATATTTACTTAAATCTTCTCAGTTTAGTTTTCTTTTTCTTTCTTTCTTTCTTTTTTTTTTTGGTGAGGAAGATTAGCTCTGAGCTAACATCTGTTGCCAATCCTCCTCTTTATGCTGAGGAAGATTGGCCCTGGGCTAACATCCGTGCCCATCTTCCTCCACTTTATATGTGGGATGTCTGCCACAGCATGGCTTGATAAGCGGTGTGTAGGTCTGCGCCTGGGATCTGAACCCTCAAACCCTGGGCCACCAAAGCAGAGCACGCGAACTTAACCACTTTGCTACCGGGCCGGCCCCTCATTTTAATTTTAACTTTATGGTTCACTTTGGGGGATGGGTTTAGGTGAATAAAGAGAGAAATTTGTTCTTACAACACTGCCAAACTCTGAATCCTACTTCTTTGCAAGCCATGACTCTTTAAAAGGTTAGAAGAATTTTTATATTCATTATCACATTCAATGCCCCCCTTACATCTGCAGAAAGGCAATAAATGGGGGCTTCCCGTTAGTTCACCATATTCCTTGGGTGAAAATTCCTTGTTTCTAAGAGTCTTTAAGTACCTCTTTGAGACCAAGATCCCTTTGAAATGAGACAAGGTTGACCCCTTTTTCACTAACCCAGAGGCCAGTGCAGCATCGGGAGAGATGATGGTAAACAGAGGAGAGACACTCTGATCTCCGTATTCTGTTCCTTCCCAATGAAGATGCTCTGTTTTCAATCAAAAACAAGATCGTTCTAAATGTCATTGCTCCACACCCATCTGGGCTCCTGAAAGCAAGCTGCCTTGTTTCTGAATCAGAGGCCATCACCCACTGAAAAGCCGCCTGCATCCGAGCTCGGCTGGGTGGGAGAGACTTGCACGTCACCCCCAGCGAAGCTGCCCTCATGGCTGCAGGCGATTGTTTCTTTTTTTTTTTTTTTTTAAAGATTTTATTTATTTTTTGCCCCCAAAGCCCCAGTAGATAGTTGTATGTCACAGCTGCACACCCTTCTAGTTGCTGTATGTGGGACTCGGCCTCAGGATGGACAGAGAAGTGGTGCCTCGATGCGCACCCGGGATCCGAACCCGGGCCGCCAGCATCGCAGCGCACGCACTTAACCACCAAGCCACAGGGCCGGCCCCGATTGTTTCTTTTGAAAGGAAGAGGATGGAGAGGAAACAGGTGGCAACAGAGAATCATTTCATCACGGCTCCTCTGACCCTTCAGAGACAGTTAAAATAAATACTCATGGGCTCATTTATGGGTGAGAACATATGACTCTCCACAGAGCCACACGAAGCATTGCCATTTTTGGGGGACGTCTAGACAGGGCAGAAGGAAACTAAGTATAGTAGTGTAGTCTACAGGCCATGATGTGTTTCCCAGCTAAAACCCAGGACAAGCTGCCCAAAGACACAGACACAGGTCATGGCAGGTGAGCGGCAGAGCGCTAAGATGCTCAGAACGTCGTGCCAAGATCTGTCTGGGGAGAAATGTCCGTGTTCCCTCCAAGATGTGGCCACACTCTCATCAACCCCTGCCACTGAGCCTCCTTCCGGGAATGACACACAGAAATGCTCAGGAGGAGAGGAGGCCCAGAGGGGCAGAAACCCACATCTGGCTGCAGGTGAGAACTTGGTGGCTATAAATAACCCACCACTTCATTGGGCGGGGCGGGGAGGGGGTGCTCCAAAAGCACCATCACCCTCATGAACTCGTGAATTAAATTCCGTTCATGAAAATGTATATCCAGCAAAGGATTTCAAAACAGACTTTCATGGCATCTAGGATTCCCACAAAGGGAAGGAAGCTGTGAGAAACTCCTCTACTGGTGGCCAACGTTTCTTTTCACAACTGGAAACAGTGCTGTAACACGTGGCTGGTTGGACTTTATAACATCTGCGGATGTTTTCAATAGAAGTGATGTGCCATGAAAAGCTTTCATGCTGCAAGTAGAAAGAAGACCTTCCTAAATTTACATTCTACATTTAAAAACATAATAACACTATTTGTACATGATAGAGCTGTGTGTGTGTATGTGTGTGTGTGCTTTACAAAAGAGAAGTATATATTTCTTCTTCCACTTAAAGGAGTGAGGAGAGACAGACGTTTATTGAACATTGACATGTGCCAGGTGCTTTGCATCCCTTATCTTCCTATTTCATCCTCACTACAAGCCCGGGAGGTATGGACTATTACTGTCACCATTTTATAAGTGAGGAAATGAGGCTCCAAGAGGTTAAACCACTTGCCTGAAGTTGCACAGGCAGCAAATGACAGAGTCCGCCTGACTCCCAGGTCCATGTTCCTCCCGCTACATTGCTCCGCCTCCTCTAGTTCCAATAAATACTTTTGTTACCTTTTCTTGTACACAGTTATAAACCTTCCTGCCAGAGGAATTTTTATAGTTCATGGGAAAATGCTGCCAGAAGAGCTGAGGAGGAACAGAAAGAATGTTTTTGATAGGTACAGAAATGGTAGAGGTCCAACACGTATTCAGGCATTTCCAAAAGATACAATACAGTAGTACAACCTCATCATTAATTAGTGTCTCATGCATATAGGATGGGGTGTCCCTCTGTATCATGTTGAGGAGATACTTAAGTTGTGTTCCAAACACAAACTACAAATTATCTGTGTCCCACCATTTTTGTCCACTATGTCACTCCACTGTCCTCAGACGACAGTCTCAATTGTGGCGGCATTACCATTGTCATCTTGGCGCCTGGGTTGCATTTCATCTTTGAAAGCCCTGGTCAGAACCACTTTTAAGGACTCTTTGAATCGCTTCTTCTTACTGCTGCCCACAAAGAAGTAAATAAAAGGGTTGGCACTGCTATTGATCGTGGAGAAGAGAAGAGAAATGTGGTGCAAATTCTTGAATGTTGACCAATACTCATAGTACAGCAGGTAAAGGAGTCTCATGGGCATGGCGAAAATGAGGAAGATGATGATGGTGACCATGATGACTATGAACAGCTTTGAGGAATGGGATGTCCACGTGTTCTTTCGGATCTTGACTACCAGGATGGTGCTGGAAACCACCATGAGTGGAGTGAAGACCAGGAAGCTCAGAACAGCTATAAAGATGATCACCGCCCTGCAGTCGCTTCGAGAGTGACTCTCACCTTCACTGTCAATGCACATGACATATTCCATGGTGGTCACTAAGCAAGAAAGTGCCCACAGGAGGGCGCAGACGAATGCCGACTGGTGCTTGGGGCGATGACATCGGTACCAGATGGGGTACAGGACGGACAGGCACCTCTCCACACTAATGGCCGTCAGCAGATAGAGGCCCGTGTTGTAGCCAAACAGAAATGTCACCGATAACGTGACAATTGTGTAGTAATAGCCAGAAGAGAGCTCATAGTCTAAAGCATAGTCAACAGACAGGATAAAAATACAGAAGAGTAGAGAGATGTCGGCAATAGACAAGTGGGTGATGTAGACTGTGAAGGGATTTCTTCTCATCCGGAAGCAGAGGAACCAGAGGAGAATTCCATTTTCAACAAAGCCCAGTGGGGAGATGCTCATAATTACCCAGTGCACGATGGGAATCTCCCGATGCGGGTCTCCGACGGAGGTGTTCCTGCTGGTTGAGGCGTTTGTGGACTCCTCAACAAATGATGTCGCATTTGACTCATCCATGAGGAGGCCTCAGGCTGGGGCTCTTTGGGTAATTTTCTGTAAATAAGTTTAAAAAAAAAAAAACCATGAAAATTGATGAAGTGGAGGAAAAGGGAGAATTTCCGCTATGGATCAAAACCTTCATGCTGTACAAAAAAATGTTTAATAGACCGTACAATTCTCTTTTTAATGATGATAAAATTAGACATTTCACCAGAAAAGAGAATTGATTTAATGACTTTTTGATCTCCCAATTGCCCTTATTTCTGTATTATTATTTGCTTGTGTTTCAGTGCCAAAAGGGGTCTGGCAAAGCCAGAGGGTCTGAGTTCCTGGTGTGCATTTCTGGTCTGGCCCAAGATTTCAGGATGGCATTTTGAAAATCATCTCATCTCCTGTGCCTCCATCTCCTGGCCTGAAGGACAAGGTTAATCACGTTAAAATGCTATGACAGAATACATGTTTGGGCAATCTTGTTGTTGTTGTTTTTTAATGCATAAAGTGCCATAAGCCATGAGTAAAGGAGAGGGAATAGCTAGCAAAATTACGTACAATAGTGTACCAATATTTTTGAAAGCATGAACAATTAGAAGGCCTTTATTTTATGTAGTCTCAATACCTGTGACAAAGCTGGGCACGTACTCAGATTAGGTGTGCAGTGCAAACCAAGACTCTGCAACAGATGGCGGGCCTTAACAAGAGGTATTTACACATCCACATACCATAGGCCAGACTAGGCAGGAAAACACTATTGACAGACATTAAACAAAGCACTAACCTGAAATCAATAAAAACGCTAAACGTTTGAGACGGCAAAGCAAAGATTCTCAGAAACTTTCCCTCACACGTTACAAACTGCAAAATAAATACACGCACAGCCCGTACCCTCTTCCTGTTATGTAACAAATAGACGTAAGCCACTTCCACCACTAGCCTTGGCTGTTTTTTTCTTTAGACTTTTTTTTTTGGTGTTAAAATATTGTTCTTTGCTTTTTGAACTTTGTCCTTGCAGAACAGGGCTCCTACATGTGCAAAAAATAATGAACCTTTAGGAAGCTGACCAAAACAATATTTTTATTGGTAGATATCTGCTTTTTCCTCACAAGCTCACCTGAAGCAGAACAGTACACAGATGTGATATTTTGTGGAGCTTGAATGTCTCTGATGATATGAGACGTTTCCAGGATTGAGTCAGCAGAACCCTGGCATTGGCCAGGGTTTTCACTCAGTACAGCTGTGCCTGAAACCTGGGCTAGCAGGCGGACTGGTGAAAGGATAGTTACCTCCCCGGTGGTGTGATCCAGGAGCCTGGAGAGGTCCCTGCCTCCACTGTCCTGAATCCCCGTCTCCCCACTAACACTTCCCTCAGCTGTTCTGACGAGATATTGGAAATTGTTTTCACTGGGGCAGAGTCTCCTTTCATTTCATAATTACACAGAAGATATAGACCCCAATACCCTCTGGGCCCAACACAAGAACCGCAATTCACAATACCACGGCATGGCCGACCAAAGATCTGCTGTAGAGACCAGGGTTTGTTGTAAGTTTGTAGGTAAGACAGCCATGTTCCGCCAAATCACCCATCAAATATTTATTCAGTGCCAACTCCATGCCAGGCACTGTTCTAGGCACTGGGATACAGCAATGAAAGAAACACACAAAGCACCAACCTCTTAGAGTTTATATGCCATTGTGGGGGCAGTCAATAACCAAATAACATAACAACAACAACAAATAAATAGATGTCAGATCATAATAAGTGCCACTGAGAAAAGTAGAGCATGAACCACGTCATGGACCAGAGTGTGGTGGTGGTGGCAGTAAGACGTGGGTAGACTCTGGATGCAATTTGATTTGCTGATGGATAAGATATGTGTTATCATAGAAAGAGAGAACACGTTTTTAGCCATTTTCTGAATGGACAAGGCACAGGTGGAGCCGGTTAGGAGGGGCATATGGAGTTAAAGAAGCCTGTGTGACAGCCAAATGGAGGTGTCTAGTAGGGCGTCAGGAGTTCGGGGGCAGATGTAGGCTGGGGATATAAATGTGAGTGTTGTATACAAACAAGTGGAATTTAAAATCATGAGGCTAAATGAGATTACCCATGAAATGTGAGTAATCAAAAAGGAGAAGGGGTCCAAGGACTGAGCCTTGGGACATTTCAAAGTTTAGAGGTTAGAAAGAAACAAGAGAAACTAGAAGGATCTGAGACAACTAAGAGAGTGGTATCTGGGAAGCAAAGAGTGTTTGAAGGAGAAGGGAGTGTGATCGACTGTGCTAACATCACAGCAAGTTCCAGTCACGTGAGAACTGGAAATTGACCATTAGAGGAGAGTCATTGTTGACCTTGATGAGAGAAGTTCTGGTGGAGCAGAGAAAATGAAAGCCTGATTAATCAAGGTGGATTCCAGAGAGGATGGGACGAGAGTAAGTGGAGACAGTGAGTATAGACAACCTTCTCAAGGAAGTTGAATGTAAATTCAAGCAGAAATGGAGCAGTCACTGGAGAGGGCTGTGGGGTTGAGGGAGAGTTGATAAGCTGATGAGAATTATCCGGTAGAAAGGCAACAATGGATGATACCTGAGGGTAGGGATCTAGAGCTCCGAGGAGTTGCTGGCCTTAGGTAGGAGCATAATTTATTCACGGGAACAGAGGGAAGACAGAGGATCTGGTTAAAGATGCAGCCAGGTGGGTAGAGTGACAGGGGAGTGTTAGATGTTAGAAGAAGTTCTCTTCCGAACGTACAGTACCTCGTTTTTCAGCAAAGTAAGGAGCAAGGTCATCAGCTAAGAATGAGGAGAGGTTGAGGGTTTAAGGAGAGAGGGGAAGTGTGAAATAATCAAGTGAAGGAGGGAAAGGACTAGGGAAATACACAAAGAGCAGGATGGCCAGGCAAACCTTAGAGCCTGCCCAGGCTGGTGCTCATGAATTTAAAGAGACAATTCAGCATGACATGGGCTTTTCTCCAGCTCTGGTTCAGCTGTCCGGGTGCAAACCCGGAGAAAGAAGAGGGTTGGATTTAACCAGGGTTGGGTATTATCAGGCTTGTGCAACGGACAGTGGGGGGCAAAGGAATTGAAGCCCGTGGAAGGGAGTGGTTATGACGACATACTATGGAATTCAACAGAGTTAGGAGAAAAGTGAGGTCTCGGGGAGGTGACGGACAATGAGCAGGAGATAGGAGCCATCTATTGCAGATCTCAGTGGTGTCCGAGAACCGCTGAGGTGCCGGAACTAAAGGCAGAAACTGGAAAATGGTGGTGGTGGGGGCGGGGTTGGAGAATGCGATGCTTGGAACTGAGATTATGGCCGTGTGGTGTTGGGGTTATTGGTATTGACAAGTGTAGAGCATGGCCATGGGGATGAATGGCTGAGGGACAGTGGAGGACAAGGTCATGTGAGGGGAGACCAGGACCTGGAGGCCAGGGCTCTGGAAGAGTACCTATATGGACACTGAAATATCTATATGGACATTGAAATCACTGGGAAGTAGTGTTGGAGATAGGAATAGACTTAGAAAAAAATGACTGTGAGCCAGGGGCTAAAATCTTCAAGGGATTTGAGAAAGCGACTGAGGGATTTGCAGATAGTCACAGAGAGGAGGGTGGTAGGTGACATAGTTGGATGGCATGCGCCTCAGAGCTGGGCGTTTTGTTGCTGCTGCTGCTGCTCCTGGTAGTGGTGGTGTTTTAGGGAAAGAAGAAGAAAAAAGAATAATCCGGAGTACAAAAAGATAGAGAGTAAACGGGGTCTAGACCAGCACTATCCAATAGAAATATAACATGAGCCACAGGTGTAATTTAAGTTTTACTAGTAGCCACACATAAAAAAGTAAAAAGAAATAGGTGAAATGAGTTTTAATAACATTTTATTTAACGCAATGTGTTCAAAATATCACTGCAACATGTAATTAATATAAAAAATGATATATTTTACGTTATTTTTTTTCACATCAAGTCTTCAAAATCCAAGGTGTCTTTTACTCTTAGAGCTCATCTCCTTCAGACCAGCCACATCTCACATGCTCAATAGTCTTTTGTGGGTAGCGGCTACCACACTGGATGGCTCAGGTTTAGAGCCATCAGAAAACCAAAATGCCTTATACAAGGAAGTAAAATGTCTTCGTCTTTTAATAACAAACCTAATCCAAAGACTAGAAATAAAATCAGGACCTAATCAGAATTTTTAAGAAAATTGACAAGAACATCTTTCTGACTCTGCTCACACCCTTGAACCACAACCTCCTTCAGCTTTCCGCCTCTCATTACGTGCAACAGAGCTCTCACGTACTCCGCACAAAAATCAGGTAGGAAAGGCATTTTGACGCCTAAGATAAAATTGTATTTTTCTTTCAAAGTCAAACCAAAGTAACCAAATTCACTTTCTGCAGATATATCACCTTCTCTCCATTTTCAAACAAACATGTTTCAGCCACTGTCCTAAGTGTTATGGATAAAGAAATAGATAAGACACAGTTCTCTGCACAGGGAGAAAGAACTAAATCTAATTCAATATGGGAAATGGAATAAAGGAGACCTTAACCATGAGCCGGGCAAGCACAGAGCAGGAAGCAATGACTCAGGGTTTCAAGGAAGGCTTTACAGGGCTGGGCATTGAAGGGTCAGTAGGAGTTTGTTAGCTGAGGAGGGGAAGAAAGGCATTTTAAGAAAAGAGAACAGATGGATAGAGGCATGGAGGCAGGAGGGCACAGGATGTTCATGGTGGGGTTTGAGGAGTCTGGTGGACCTTGGGCAGAGAAAGGATTTTGTAAAGAAATGAATGGCTGGACTGAATTCAGCATGAAAACCTGGTTACGATACTTCCTTAAACGTCAGACTTCTTTTACAGGCTATGCTTACTCAAGTTTAGTGCCTAAAAATTACCTGGGGTCGCTTATTAAAAAGGCAAATTCCAGGGCCCCCCTGTTTCAGAAAGCCCTGGAATCTGAATTTTCCTAGCCCAGGGGATTCTGATGCAGGTGGGTCCAGGGCCATGGTTTGAAAAACACTGCCGTTTGCTCTAGGGAGCCATTAAATATTTTCACGCAGGGCTGGGA